CAGTAGCCACGGTTGTTAACTCGTGCCCTCGGGTCAAGCACCAGCGTCTTCGGGTAGAGAAGAACCGCCACAGGCTTGAGAAGATAGTTGCGCTTCGGCAGGTGCTCGAGCGTGCCACGGGCCACTGCGTGCAGCAACACCCGAAGGACAACAAACGCTGGTTGTGTGTTCGCTGCTAGCTTGGCCCAACACGAGAGGCCGTTGAAAGCTGGATGCGATCTCACCCGTGTAGAGGAACAAATTTTTCTTCCATGTTATAAATGTGCCTCTGCCGATTCCGCCCTCAGCATACCCCTCTCTTACAGTTGGAGGTAAGACGGTACAACCGACTCATTCGGTGCAAATCATGAATGGTCACTTTTGGTGCACGAAATGTGTGTGAGGCTCGGCAGTTGCACGAGCACTGGAGGTGGCAAGCTGCGCCAACTCCCCGTCCCTTGTCCAGGTGGTGTGGGCACTGACAGTGGACGGCAGGCGTTGCGCAGGTTGGCTAATTGTCAGCCCCCGCATGTTTCGGCCAAGTGTTGGCCCTCAGGGAACCCCATCAAGCCCCTCAAAGCCAAGCGTGCACGCCCGATGTAAGAGGCTCGGTCACAAAGGCCGCGGCGTGTCTCTGGCCACGACCGCGCCCCTTCGGTGGGCCGATCCTCCTCCTCCACCTCCTCATCATCATCCTCCTCTTCCCCCTACATGCTCCATGTTGCTTAGCAGCTGTTCCGATTCGTGCTCGTTTTTCTTCGCCTCTTCTCTTGGCCCTCCTCGCCTCTTTCGTCTCCGTTGTCCACGCCTCACGTCCTTCACCGCAGGGCGTCATGGTTGTACAGCCCCGAGCCCAAGTCCTGCCAGCCAGCGCTCAATGAGGGCGCTCTCGGCCTGGATGGCTGGATGCCACGAGTTGTGTGTGCGTGACAACGCGAGCACAAACTTGATTTGTCTGTTTCAGGGATGCGCGCTTGTGCGCCTGGCGCTGGGCTTTGTTCAAGGAATGTCAGGAGGGGAAAGAACACACAGACACAATCAATCGTCGATTCCCCACAGAAAATATTGGAAAATATGGGAAGTGGGGGGAAGACAAAAAACAAGAACATACATGAAAATAAGGGGAATCCTGTTATTTGTGTATTTGTGTATGTGTGCGTGTGTGTCCCAAGGCCCCTGCAGAATTGTTGTGGTGAGATTGTTGTATGGAATTATTCGCGCAACCCCTACCAGCCCATCCAGAAACGACGCCGAGGCGAGTCGCCCTGATCAGGCATGTGGGGGAGCACGCAGCATATTAAAAGGTTGTGAAGCCGTCATACTTCAAGACGAAAGGATGGAGGAGGAATCAGAAGAGGAGGAAGATGAGGAGGATGAAGGGCAGGGGAAGGAGGTAGAAGGGAGGAGGGAGGAGGAGGAGAGAGGAATAGGCTGATGAGGAAGAGAAAGAGGAGCAGGAGGAAAAGGAGGAGGAGGAGGAGAAGGACGGCGAACGCAAAGGCCAGAGGGCTCTTGGATGCCTTCCGGAGTCTCTTCGGATGTCTGTGGAGAGCGTCTTATAGGCCGGTTGGGGCGCCTGGGGGGCCTTTTGAGAAGCGTTTTGGGTGTCTCGGGGGGGCCTCTTGGAGGTCTCTTGGGTGCCTTTTGGGGGCATCCCGGGGGCATCTTGGGGGCCCTTGGGGCCCCCTGGGTGCCTTTTAGGTTGCGCTCGGGAGCCTCGGGGTCCATCTTGGGGCCAACTTGGAGGTGATTAATCAAAGAAGGGGGGGTACTCAATTTGTCCCCCCAGGAAGGACGCTCGAACACCCCGCGGGGCGCCCTGTCCAGGTCCAGGGATAGGGGGTAGGGGCAAGGGTCAGGACAGCCTCCCCGCCCGCAAGCTGTCTCGCTCACTCCTTCCCAACACATGAGTAGCACCCGGGCTTCAGCATGTTCAGCGGTCGTGTATGGATGGGCAGCTACCGGGAACCCATAAAAGCCCGTTGTGCGCGACGGGGCGAGGTGCGCCACGCGTTCCAGGCGCTCCGGGTGCGCCAGGCACGCTGCGGCCCAAGCGTGCCAGGCACGCCTCGCGCGCCAGATGCGCGACGTGCTCCACGTGCACCATGTGTGCCACGTGATCTAGCCGCGCCAGGTGCGCCACGTCCAGCGTTCGCGCAGAGTGTGCCAGGTGCGCCCGCGCACGTGACAGCACATCGGAAAACACGTCGGCCCCCACCATCCTTCACGAGCACCAGTGTGCAATCGTTGCGGGAACGCCATCATGGTTTCTGGTGGGTTTGGACACAGCAGGCAATGTGCCAGCACCCCCCCCCCGCGGATCTTGTAAAACACAAATGGACAGTGATCGCGGAGTGGCCGCGCGTGATCCAGATTAAGCCGCGAAGTGCATGTTGCATTGGTTCCAACCTTCATGCGTTGGGCTCTCGTTTTGAATAGAGCACTTCCCGCGCGTCTCCTTCCTCCCGTCTCCCTTCTCCTCCCCCTTTATGCCTGCCTGCTACCCTGCCTCCTACTTCACCTCGCCGTCCTGCCTGGGGGCTCCCTGGGGGGCTGCGATCTGCGAAACTGTCGCTACCTTTAAGGGCTGCTGGGGAGTCAAGCAGAGTGACGTCCCACGCGGATCTACATTAGACCTCTCAATCCTTGGGCGGTTGCGCTCTGCGAACATGTCGCCACTTTCGAGGGCTGCTGGGGTGTCCAGCGGAGTGACGTCCCACGCGGACCTACATTAAATCTCGCCATCCCTGGGGGGCTGCGCTCTGCGGCATTGTCGCCACTCTCAAGGGCTGCTGGGGGGCCAGCGGAGTGACGTCCCACGCGGACCTAACTCAGACCTCGCTATCCTTGGAACGCTGCGATCTGCGAAACTGTCGCCACTGTCGACGCCAGGGGGGGGGGGGTCCAGCGGGGCGCCGTCCCACGCCGACCTACATTAGAGCTCGCTGTCCCTGGGGGACTGCGATCTGCAAAACCGTCCTCACGTTCAAGGAGTTCTAGGAGGTCCAGCGGAGTGACGTTCCACGCGGATCTATATTGGACCTCGCCATCCCACGGGGGTTGCGATCTGCGAAACCGTCGCCACTTTCGAAGGCTGCTTGGGGGTCGAGCGGAACGCCGTCCCACGCGGACCTAAATTCGACTAAATTGGACGGCTTTTTCTCCCGCGGGCCACGCCTGTTGGGGCCGCGGCAATGGATCGGAGCCTTAGGTTAGTGCATCCCTGGTCGCAGCCATGCGACTACGCCGCACCATCCACGTCCGCACTACACGCGTCTTTTCCACAGTGGGGGGAGGGGACCGAGTGCACGACGCAGGTCTAGTAGCCCCATGGCCCCATGGTGGCCTTCGGCCCATTTCGCGACTTTTTCTACGTTGCAGGTCAGAGGCCTCTTGGATTCCTCTGGGGATTTCTTGGAAAGCTTCTCGGGAGCCTCTTGGAGGCGGTTTGGGGGCCTTCATCTCGGGGGTCGTTTCGGGCCTCTTGCAGCCTGATTTGGTGTTCTTGGAGGCCTCCTGGAGCTTTTGAGGGACTTGTCGGGGGCCTGCTGGCGGTCTCGAAGATCGTCTTGGGGCGGAGGGCTCGAAATGTAGGTGCGTGCTCCCCCTCTGGGGCATCTCTGGGGCATTTCTGGGGCGCTTGGGGCCTTCTCGTGCCGTCTTGGGGACCTCTTCAGTTGTCTTGGGTGCCTCTTCAGCCGTCTGGAGGCCATCCTGCAGGTTACTGGGGCCGTATTTGGGCGACCGCGGGGTCTTCTTGGGTTGTGGCATCGAGGCCCGAAAGGCGAGAACGCGGAATCAGCGAAGGCATGCGGGGAACTCCGGGAGAGCCGCGGGACGCCCCGGCAGATCCAGGATTTTGGAGCCCGGGCCCCTTATTATTCATTGTGGGGGGCGACCAAAAGGGGGGTGATGACTAGGGGGGGGTAGATATCATGGCGTGGGCCATGAAATCTCCCCAGAATTCATTGCGCCTCTTCTTATTACAATACGTCCTGTGTCCCCCGCCCTGGGTGGGCCGCGCACATGCCGCCGACCATGATTGTGACCCCCTTTCTTGGACGCCCCCTTCTTTGCCGCCCCCGATATTTACTCAGGACTGAAGACGAAGGACTCCAAGAGACCTGAACTCCAACTCGTGTCTTAGTGCAAGGTGGCAGATTCACGGTGCTAGGCTCTGGGTCCAGTCACATCGTTCTCGGATATTCGTCTCCGGAGCACGTACAGGCCATGCCAGGACGTTATGTGTTGGTCGCATCACGCGTTTGGCTCGGATTCTGCGAGCCCAGCGTATGTTACGACGGGTGTTTTGAGATACCAATTTGAATGACGGCTTTAATGTATTGATTTTCCAAGTAGCTGAAGTAAAGTACAGCATTCAACGAGTTGTTGGGGCCTGTCGGCAAAACCGAGGCACCGAGCACTTCACAACAGGGAGCAGCGTTGAACGGTCCTGGCAGTTGTGTTGCGAGGCGAAAGAGCGAAATGCCTGTGTCGAGCAGCGCATGTTTTTTATGTCTGTGTTGCCCGAGCACTGTGAAGTCACGCGAAAATATTTATTTCTTTGTACCAGAGTCCATCTGCTTGTTATGCAAACTTTCGAGCGTCAGAGTTTGTTCTCTGTCCTGCATACGCTTGCTGAACATCTGTTTTAGTTGACATTTTCATTTAGGACCGCAACGCGCAGGAACCATGTGTTTGCTCCTTGCGGGATGCTCTTATATTGCAGGTGTATGTGTCATGGAGTTGTTCTAGTTCCTTCTGTTTGCAGGGCCCCCTTTCGTTGCCCTTCCCTTCGCCCAGTCCTTTCTGCATGCACCGCTCCTCTCTCTCTCTCTCTCCTTCTTTCATGTTCCCCGCATTCCCTCTCCTCCTATCTTTCTGGTGGTTGCCTCCATCTTTGATCATCTCTTGGCTCCAGGTCAGGCGTTATAGGTTTCTGCTTACGCAATGGCCATGGCAGCGCTTGCGATAGTCAGTTTCACGTCTGCGTAGGCTGGTCATTTTCTGGCCTGGCAGCGATGCCCTATCCAGGCGAGTGTCGTCTCATTCTTTTGGCGTGGGTGGCGTCGTGACAGGAACAGAGGAGGATGGTCGGATGGATGATGCTGATTATGATGATGATGGTGATGATGGTAATGATGGTAATGATGTTGATGGTGATGATGGTGATGATGGTGGTCGTGATGTTGATTGTGGAGGTGATTATGATTGTCATGATGATGATGGCGATGATGGTGATCATCAGCATCATGATCACCATCCTGATCATGACGATGACCATGACGTTGGCGACGGCGACTGCGACGGCGGCTGTGATGATGGTAATGATGACGGCGAGTGCGACAGAGATATTGATTGCGACGGTGATGGTGTAAGTGACGGGGATGGTTATGGTCATAGTGATGGCGATGACGGTGAGGGTGATGGTGATGCTAATATTGGTGGTATTGACGGTGATGAGTACGATGGTGATAGTGTTGATGATGATTCAGTTGATGATCATGATGACAATGATGACGATGCTGATGATGTTGCGGAGGATGATGATCATGATGACAATGACGATGATGCTGATGATGCTGCTGAGGATGATGATCCTGCTGATGACGATGATGCTGATGATGATCATGACGGTGATGATTATGATGATGATGATGATGATGATGATGATGATGATTGTGGTGACGGTGATGATGATGTTGATGATGATGATGATGATGGCGATGATGTCGATTATGATGATGATGATGATGATGATGATGATGATGATGATGATGATGATGATGCCGATGATGCCGATGATGATGATGATGATGATGCTGATGATGATGATGATGATGATGATTATGATGATGATGATGATGATTATGATGATGATGAGGAGGAGGAGGAGGAGAAGGAGGAGGAGGAGGATGATGAGCATGATGATGATGGTGGTGGTGACGATTTTCGTGAGGGTGGCGAAGTTGATGGTAATGTTGATGGTGGTACTGATGCTGCTGATAAGTATGTTGCTGCTGATGATTATGATGCTGGATGAGGATGAGGAGGAACAGGAGTTTGAGGAGGATCGGACGAGGCAGGAAAGGAGGGAGACCTGTAGGGTGGTATGGAGGAGTGAGAGGAGTAGCAGGACGAAGTTGGCGTTGGCCATGTGGTGACAAGTGAAGGCCCAAAGCTCAGCCCACTCGTCGTCAGGCGATCTCGAACGCCTTCGGCCAGAGTCCTCCCCCGGAAGTCTCCAGAGCCTCATGGGGCTTGAGAACCTCGACCGTCGAGACTTCAAGACTTCAACTCGTCGCCCTTCATCCTGTGCCTCCTCCGTCTCCTCCGCCTCCGTGAGGAGCTCGATCCTCGAACCTCCTCCTGCTTCTCTGGAGAGGGCGCAGGTTCTCAAAACCACCCAGATACTTGACCCTCCTCCTCGATGCCCGCCGGATCATCCTCTCGATCCCGCTCCTCGTGCTCGTCGCTCCTCATCGATACTGCTCCTCCTTCTCCGCTGAGGCCCTCCTCCCCGATCCTCGATCCGCCTGCTCGATCCTCCTCTATGGAGAAGGGGAGGAAGCGTACCTGCCAAGGGAGGCCTGGCTCGCACGTGGTGGGTCCAGCTCTTCGCCAGACCCGGGGGCCACGACAGGGGGGGTTAGGTCAGTGGGGAACTGTATCGACCTCCTAATCCCCATTTCATCGCCGACCCCAGACCATCTCGCAGCGTGGACAAAATCAGGAAGGTAGGTTTTGGTACATGTTCTGCCTCAAGGGGCCTTCGCAGGGCCCGAGGATAGTCCACAGCTATTGGCGGTCCACGCCATGAGAAAATCATGACGTCGGGAGTTTGGGGCAGGAGCGTGCGGCGGTTTCGCAATCGTGGACCTGTCGCAACTATCGGCGATGTATCGCCGATTCCACTTCGATGTTCCCTCCCTGGGCCAGACCCCCCCCCCCCGTGCGAATTGTTCCCCCTGGTGCACGCCCCGGCCGGAGCATCCCTGGACCATGTGGGGCGAAGCGGAGGAGAGGAGGAACCCATACCTCGCAGATAATTTCGTTTCTCCCCGAGAACAATGAAGGGTTCACAAAGGACGGGAAATTGTGGGGGATACTTTGCCAGGGAGGGCTATTCGCACGTACCCTTGTCGAAGATGGACAGCGGCCATCGTATATCCCTGATAGGCGAACAAACATGTTGCCCAGTCAAAAACCACCCACAACGTCGGGGATGGGGTCGCTGATGCCCCCGTTGAGACCTCCTTGCGCTGCGAACAAGAAAAACGCGACGGGTGGGTTCTGTTGCAGTTCTCGGCCCTCGGGGGTCCTCACTGGGCCCCAGTCTATCAAAAATCGACCTGGTGACTGAAAGGAAGGACCCGGGCCTTCTGGGGTGAGGCACAAACGGAGCACGACGGTGGATAGAGAGCGGGAGCAGGAGGGAACAAGAAAGACACCAGTTGAGCGGCGGAAGAAAAAGAGGTCGATTGCGCGGACATTCGGGCGAAACCTGCACACGTAAGGTCGCTCGTGAGCCCCCTCGTTTCCACTGTAGCGTGCCGCGCCGGCGGCCCGCGTAAGCCGCCTCGTAATGTCATGGCACCGTGCCATCTCGTGAAAACCGGTTCTTGTCGTCTCTCAGCTGGAGGCCACATCGTGCAGTGCTGGCTGAGGGCTCAGGCCGGACTTCTGCGTCCATGCAAGCGTTCAGCTTACACAGGGCTCAGCCAGAGTACCCTAGAAACCCTTGCAGAGCCCGAGTTGGGCTGAGCCAGGTTTGGGATTTGCTGGTGACCCAAGAGGTGGCATTACATGTTGGCCGATCCAGGTTGGGGAAATTTTTCAAATCATTGCAGCGCATTGTTTGTTCTTTAATTATTAGCGTTCCGCGTATCCCCACCAGGTAGGGGACAACCTAGCCGCGATACGGTACGGGGCCGGCACCGCCAGATACCGGAGACTCCACCTTGCTCAACAGATGGAGGAAGCACTCGGGCAAGCGGAGAGCGCCTGCTGGGTGCTCACATGGCAGGCAGTCAGGCGACGATTGAACAAGGCAACCGACAGCCTGGCCACCATTGGGGTCTACAGGGCCGACCCCCTGCTCAGGGAGGGCGAAACCTCCGTCCGCACGTACATCGTGTGGGCGGGCACTGCCTCAAACCCCCCCGCTCACTTCCCGGCCAGTAACCCGAGGAAGCATTTAAGAACCCCCCCCCCCTTCCGGCAAATCGATAACCCTTCCGCACCGTGGAAGCGTTACCTGGCACCAGGAGCCCTCCTCCTCCTCCTCCTCCTCCTCCTCCTCCTCCTCCTCCTCCTCCTCCTCCTCCTCCTCTCCTCCACCCAGGAACTTCCTCCTGCCCCTTAGGAACCCTTAAATTCATGAGGAATCCCCTGGATTTTTTTTACGAGCCCTTCGGAATTTAAAGGAGTTTTCTGGAATCCTGAGGAATCCACAGAAAGTCTTAGGAATGCGCAGGAATCGTAAGGGAATCCTTAAGAATCCAAGATAAATCAGTAGGAATCCCTAGGACACCCGCAGGAATAGAACTGGATTGTTTTTTCGCGTGGCCGGGTGCTAAGATAACGCCACGGTGCGGGGGGGGCGGGATACCCTCTCGTGGACCTCCCCCTAGGACGGCCGATGAACATCAATTTCTCGAAGGGTTTTGAATGAGAAATCTCTTCCAAGAGGCCAGCAGATCAGAAGAGAGAAAAGGAGGAGGAGGAGGAGGAGGAGGAGGAGGAGGAGGAGGAGGAGGAGCAGGCCTCTGAGCAGACGCAGGCCTTTGAGCAGGCTCCTGAGCAGGCGTCTAAGCAGGCTCCCAGGCAGGCCTCTTAGCACGCCTCGTTTTCCAGGGGCCAGGCCTCCGCGAATTTGTTCTGTGTCCGGGTGCTAAACCTATCGTTCGGTTATTTCGGCCCCTCGGAATATCGAATAAAAATGCGGTGCTAAGATATCGCCGGGGGGGTTCTTAAATGCTTCCTCGGGTTATTAGTCAAGACATCGACCTGTGCGACCCAACGGAGTGCGCCAGTGCCGCTTTCCATCTGGAAAATCCTCGGCTCTCCTCCTCCTCTCTCCCCTCCGCCCCTGGCCTCGGATCGTCCGATCGATCGCTCCGCCGACCGAGGTCCCCCCCCGGCAGCCGGCTGCACCCCCCCCCCCGCTTTACCTGTTTTCTTGCGGCGGTTAGCTGCACCCCCCTTCAACATGCCCAAAAGGAAGAGCAACAATGGACCGTTGGCGCGGTGGCCCGCGCCCAACACGTACAACGCAGACGGCCCCGTCAACACGGGCGACCTCCTACCTTTCCGTGCTCGAGAGTGCCCCTGTCTTCGCTGGGCGCACTTGAACGGCGAATGGTGCTGGTGGTGCGAGATCTGCCAGAAGTACTGTGGCGGCAGAGGGCACCTCCTCACATGGGAGCACTGGAGCGAAGCCGACAAGCAGGATAGTCACGGGTGGCCCAACCCCCAGGAGTTCATCTCACCAGGCAATCGCTGGACCTTGACAGGCGGGACGGAGCACGACCGCGTGCACAGCTGCAACATCAGCAGGTTCCAATGGGAAGGCTGGAATACGCCAGCGCCAGAGAAGGTAAATGGTCAGCCGTACCTCCCAGGTTGGATTTTCCCAAACGAGTGGGGCTACGTGCCACTCAACTTTCCGTACAGGGACGACACTCACGACTACTTCGCGCCCAGCCGGCACCACCCATTCCAATGACCTACGCCCACCCACGCAGCTGAGGTGGGCCTGGGGGATGGCGTCGAAGGGGGGGCCCAGCGTCTGGGGCACTCCTGGCCTACCCCCCGCGCCGTACCTCGAGTCCACGGCCAGGCGCGACACAGGGGACAGCAGACCCAACGCCTCCAGCAGGGCCTCTTCTCAGGAATCCGCGGACAGGTCCCGACTCGAGGCAGAAGAGAGCATGGAGCAACGCAGCCAGCACGGCGCACCCCCAGCAGAAATAAGGAGGGTAGCGCTTGAGTCGGCTGCCGTTGCCGCCGCCGATGCCGTCAAGCAACTATAC